CATATCGCCAAGCTTGCCTTCCACGCCAAGGAAAGTCTTATCCGGACACAGGACGGAGTCTTCAATCTTGTATCTTCATAGTCCGGGAGTCCGGCCAAAGGTCATAGTCCGGCCATCCGGACACCCCCCAATCCAGGACTCCCTCACCCCCCTTTAGTCCTGGTTGGTGCCACCAACCGGGACCAAAGGTCTCTTTTCAGCAGCCCAAAGGGCGGGAAGCGGCGGTCTTCGGTCCCGGTTGGTGGTACCAACCGGGAGTAAAGGGTGGGTATTGGTACCGGTTGGTGCCACGGACCGGTACCAATGCACCCCCTTTAGTCCCGGTTGGTGCCACCAACCGGGACCAAAGGCCCCTGTGCTGCCCGCGTCGCGACCAAAGTTTAGTCCCATCTCGCTAGTTGAGAGGGGCACGCAGTGGTTTATAATCCCCACTGTCGCACCCCTCTCGAGCTCCTCTCCACTGCAGGCTTACGGGTCTACTTGCTACTGCTTTGCCTTCTGGGCCTTCTGGGCCTACTGCGGGCCTGAATCCTGACCCATGGATGGGTTTCTTGTCGTATTCAGGCCGTGGTGGCCTAGTTGGTGGCAAATTTTTTATTTTTTCCCAATTTTTTTGTTTTTTTTTGCTTTATTTATTTTGTTTTGTTTCTACTTACAACAAAATACTTATTTATTTTATTTTATTTATAATTACTTATTTATTTTATTTTATGATAATTCTTTTTGCAATTAAAGTTTCTAACAAAAGAAGTTATTTATGAATATTCTTTTTGCTTTTAATGATTTTGAACAGAAAATACTTTGATAATTTTAGTGCATCAATTTTATACACTTTTAGTTTCAATAATACTGGAAATTGCTTATAATGTTTTGAACAGAAAATACTTTGATAATTTTAGTTTCATAAATTTTATTTATGTTATTAAAGTTTTTTTTGTTTCTATTTATAAAAAAATACTTATTTATTTTATTTTATTTTTTTATAGTTACTTATTTATTTTATTTTATGATAATCCTTTTTGCTATTAAACTTTATAACAAAAAAAGTTCTTTATGAATATTCTTTTTGCTTTTAATGATTTTGAACAGAAAATATTTTTGATAATTTTAGTTGCATCAATTTTATATAATTTTAGTTTCAATAATACTAGAAGTTGCTTATAATGTTTTGAACATAAAATACTTTGATAATTTTAGTTTCATAAATTTTATTTATGTTATTTAAAGTTTTTTTTGTTTCTACTCATCTATTTTATTAAAGTTTATATCATTTTGTTTCAAATTATCTATTTATTTTATTTTATTTTGTTTCTGACTTCATTTGTTATTTTTCATGCATTTACTGATTATTTTGAGCTATAAGACCATGAAGTTGAAAAGCATTTGAAATGAACTCTGAAACCAAAGTACATACATAGTTCTCCAGAGTATTAAAACCAAAGTACATACATAGTTCTCATTGAACAACATATAGCTCTACAGAGCATCTAATTAAACCATACATTGAAATTATGTAAAACATTTCAATGCAAAAACAAATGCGATCATAACCGCAACCAAGGTAACAACTGGTCCAACTGCATAATGATACCAAGCCTCGATACGAATGGCATATTTTCTAATCTTTTTAATCTTCAACCGCATTGCATCCATCTTGATCTTGTGATCATCAACGACATCCGCAACATGCAACTCCAATATCATCTTCTCCTCCTCAATTTTTCTTATTTTTTCCTTCAAGTAATTGTTTTCTTCTTCAACTAAATTTAACCTCTCGACAATAGGGTCGGTTGGAATTTCCGGTTCAACTACCTCCTAGATAAATAAAATCTATGTCACATTGGTCGGCATAATTGTCATAAACAATAAATAAACCAAATAGTTATGAAAAGATAATATATACCACATCTGAATCATAGATAGGACGAGGGCCGACGGGGGCGGATACCAAAACCATCGCACTATATAATAACAAGGAATAACAAAAGTAAGAAAATTAGACAAGTATTTATCTGAAGTCAGAATTTTTTTCTTTCAAAAAGAAGATAAGAACAAGAGGCTCACCACGGTGGTGCCGGCGACGAGTTCGTCGCGGGCGATCGACGGCGATGAAGACGGGGCGGGGACGGGGCGTGACGGACCGCTAAATCTAGACAAATCTCGTTGAAAATGGAGCTTGGAGGTCGAGTTTCGAGAGGAGAAAGCTTAACTAGTGTGGCTCGGGCATTTCATCGAACACCTCATGTGCATAGGAGGTGAACTAGAGCACCCAAATGCCCTCCCCTCGCCGGCTTGACAAAATAGAGCACTGTGGAGTGCTCTGTCGCGGCGATGGGGTATATATAGGCAAGTTATTTGTCCTGGTTTGTGGCATGAACCGGGACTAAAGCCACCACTTCTGTCTCGGTTCAATCCACTAAACGGGACCAATGGTTGTGGGCCAGTAGCGAGGACCATTGGTCTCGGTTCGTGGCTCGAACCGGGACAAATGGTTCCACACAAACCGGGACCAATGCCCACGAGGCCCCGGCCGCCCCCCTGGGCTCACGAACCGGGTCTAATACCCCCATTGGTCCCGGTTCTTGAAGAACCGGGACTAATGGGCTGGCCAGGGCCGAACGGTAGCCCTGTTTTCTACTAGTGCACTAGTGCACATGCATTGATATTTAGTTGGCAGGACTAGTTACACACACATATACTCAGTTGGCGCGGCAATGTAGTTTAGTTGCACAATGCAGTACTTTAGTTGCACCATATAGCACCAAAGTTGGCATCAAAAAAAATCGTCGAAACATACCCATGCGGGATCTAGTTTCGAAGATCACGTCGTGATGAATCCAAAGGTGAAAACGGATCTGAATTCCAACGTGTGGTTTAAAAGATATGACTTTTTAAAGATTTAAGAGGCGAAAATAAATGTGTTTCACAAACTAGTCTGTACGCATTTGCTGTACACATTTAATGCTAACAAAAATATCCATTAACTGAGAAAAAGACACAAACTAGATAATTGCTATTTATAGATTATTAGGGACCAAAACTTGCAATTTTAGGTCGGCCGCTCCCAAAGTGTAGCGAGCAGCCGGCCGCTCGCTAGACCGGTCCTTCTGTTGGGCCACTCAAATGCGATTTTAGTTTGTTACACGGTTATATAATTAAGATGACGGGAAACTAGTCTGATAAAACCGGACGTGAATTTTTGGGACATGTGGCTAGCCGCTACCGTTATCCCGGTGGTCCATCAAGGCGCTGAGATTGCTACTTTTAATAGGACTTTTGCAATACGTGCCGCGTGAATTCACACTTCACGCGAATACGCTGCAGCAGTGGACCAGCCGTACCCTAAAAAAAAAGCAGTGGACCAGCCGCACAGGCCGCATTCAATGGATCACAGGAGAAAAGCAGAACGCGTCCGGGAGATGGATTAACTCCCGTCCTTCGGTGGGTGTGCGATAATTGAGCCGTACTCCCGCAGCACCCAACAACATGTCCAGGGCTTCAAACTCAATTTGTTTCTGAGGCTTTGATTCTTTGTTATGGAGAGGTGCGTGCTGACTTCTGCTTATTCTGTTTCTACATTAGCATGTCCAGGGTTTTAGTGGAGACTTATGGACTGGGCTTTTCCAGATTCAGTTGTTTTGGGGTGATAAATGTAGACATAATCCATCCTGGGTGAACTGATGGCCTGCGTCACATTTAAAACTGCCTTTGCAGCTAATTAACCCACTGTCGGCCACATGTGGATGATTTAAAGCTATGTACTCCTGCTGAATTGTGTGCCGAGGACTATCTTTATCATGTGCTTTGCCTAGTTACAGGATCCAAATAACTCAAATGGTGGTGGATAAGTGCAATAGATCAACCAAATTACTGGTACAAGAACCGTAAACACAGACTAAATGCGCGGTAGGTGAGCTCGCATCACGTACTAGGAGAAACATGGGGAGGACTTGATGTACTTGTTCTTCCCCTTCCAAAGCCTGCATCCTCATTTGTGTTAGTCGGACAGAGTGCAAACGATGTATGGAACAGCAGATGATGAACTTACACCACACCACGGCAATCACAGCTGTAGAAATGCCTCCCCGGGTTTACTACGGCCTGAAATGAACCAGACCACATGCACGGCTTTGCACTCAGGGCAACGGATGAGAGAGAGCGAGGCGACCTGGTTGGAGATGACATAAGGATGAATGTGGTGGAGAGCTTCCCTGGGACATGGATGAATACATGGTTCTAACCTGCAACAGGAGGATGGTTGCAAGAGAGAGCGAGGAACGAGCGCCGAGCAGAATGGTTGGACAGCCGAAGCAACAAGGCCGAATGGATTAAAGAGACGGAGGGGAGCGTGGTGCAGGTAGCTGTTGCAACAAATGAGTGATTCAATGCGTCTGGTTCCTTTGCATGCACCAGACTTGACCTGTCAGACAGAATACGAAAGACATACAGGTTGGATATGGTGCACAGAAATAAATATACATTCTCACCGTATAAAATATATGCACAAATCACGTGGGAATGGGCGGGCGGGACAACGACCTCGCTTGGCACCACGTCCACTCGCAATTTATCGGATAAAACCACGTATACCAACAATCACTAAAGTAGTGACCTATATTTCTATTTGTTGAAGAGGGAGTAGTGGTTATTATTTATTGAAGACCCTCTTGACCAAGACCCAATAATCTGACATCCCATGTTCTGACTTCTGACTAGTCAATCAATCATTTCGCCCAAATAAGTGATATTCTCTGTATCGATCCGGTTTTAGTAGCCCGTTATCTTGGTTTAACTACGAGCGAAACCATTTTTCGTATGTCTTAGTCACCAGTGAAAAAGAATCTGGAGAGACAAGGAGAATCTGCACGTTACACAGAAGTTGAAAGTTCACTCGGTCCAGCTAGCTAGCTCTCCAGTTCAGTTGAGAATACTACTATTGTAAACATTTTCTCACCGACGCGCCGCCGATAGCTGAGCAGTAGGCGGCCGGCCGCGCTACTATGGGTACTGCTTTGTGCCTGGTGGTGCTGCTACTGCTGCTTGTCAATGCTCCGGCTTCTGAGGCAGCGGACGACGACGACGAGCAGCTGCTGGAGCGGTTCAAGGAGGCGGTACGCAACCGCGGGGAGCTCAGGGGATGGACCCGCGGCGACGGCGCCTGCAGGTTCCCCGGAGCGGCATGCGTCACGGGAGGGAGGAGCATCGTGTCGCTCTCCCTGGTGGGCGTCCAACTCGACGTTGATTTCAGCGCCGTCGCCGGCGCACTGCTGCAACTGGGTGGCGTCGAGGTCGTCAGCCTGCGAGGTGTCAACGTCAGCGGCTCGCTCGGGAGCGGCGGCGGCGGCGGCGCCGGAGGGTGGAGGTGCGGCCAGAAGCTGGCTCAGCTCGACCTGTCCGGGAACATCATGCTGCGTGGATCCGTTGCTGATGCTCGCGCTCTCGCCGGCGCGTGCGAAGGACTGCGGGAGCTGAACCTGTCTGGTAACGCACTCGTTGGCGGTGGCGGTAACGGCGGGAAGGGAGATGGCGGGGACATCTTTGCCCGCCTGGATGTCCTTGACCTGTCAGACAACAACATCACTGGCGACGGCGAGCTCAGCTTGATGGGTGGTGTCCGCCGGCTGAACCTCGCCGGGAACAAAATCTCAGGTGCTCTCCCGGTCCCGGTATTCCCCAATTGCTCCAGAATGGAGGCACTTGATCTGTCTAGAAATTTAATCTCCGGTGAGGTGCTGCCTGGGGTCCTGTCTGGCTGCACTGCTCTTGCTTCGCTCAACCTCTTCAGCAACCACTTGGAGGGCGCTTTCCCGCTGGACAACGCGTTCCCGGCGCCGCTCTCCTACCTCAACCTGTCGAACAACAACTTCTCCGGTGAGCTCCCTGCCGATGCATTCATTGGGCTCCCGCGTCTCTCGTCGCTCTCTTTGTCCTTCAACCACTTCAGCGGCGCCGTGCCTGACTCTCTAGGCAGACTTGCCGAGCTCAGGGTGCTGGACCTTAGCTCGAACGCGCTCGCTGGAGCTATACCGCCCTCACTCTGCCCGAGTACCGGCAACAAGTCCAAGCTCGAGGTGCTCTACCTGCAGAACAACTACCTCACCGGCGTCATCCCGCCGACGATCTCCGACTGTGAAAGCCTCGAGTCTCTAGACCTCAGCCTTAACTACATCAATGGATCCATCCCCGCCTCCCTCGGCAGCCTTAGCCGGCTCCGGGACCTCATCCTGTGGGAGAACAAACTGCAGGGTGAGATCCCCACGTCGCTAGCCAGTGCTCGCCGACTCGAAAACTTCATCCTTGAGTACAATGGTCTCACAGGCAACATCCCATCGGAATTTGTGAACTGCAAGAACCTGAGATGGATAGCGCTCGGAAGCAATCAGCTCTCTGGATCGGTGCCGGCATGGCTGGGGCAGCTAGACAACCTTACAATCTTGAAGCTCAACAACAACTCTTTCTCAGGGAAGATACCGCCGGAGCTAGGAGACTGCAAGAGTTTGGTTTGGCTGGATCTGAACGACAACCAGCTTAGTGGATCGATTCCACCGGAACTGGCAAAGCAGTCCGGCAAGATGAACGTCGGCCTCGTCGTCGGGCGGCCATACGTATACCTGCGCAACGACGAGCTGAGCAGCAAATGTCGCGGCAAGGGGAGCTTGCTCGAGTTCGCCAGCATCCGTTCCGAAGATCTAAACAGGATGGCTAGCAAGAAGCTGTGCAACTTCACACGAATGTACATGGGCAGCACACAGTACACTTCCAATCTCAATGGCTCCATGATATTCTTGGACCTGTCATTTAACAAGCTCGACTCCGAGATACCCAAGGAACTTGGGGCGATGTACTATCTGATGATCATGAATCTTGGGCACAATATGCTTTCTGGTGCCATCCCAGACGAGCTTGCAGGTGCCAAGAAACTGGCTGTGCTTGACCTGTCACACAACCGGTTGGAAGGCCCAATCCCCACTTCATTTTCATCACTATCATTTTCGGAGATTGATCTATCATACAATAGGCTGAATGGGTCAATACCGGAGCTGGGATCCCTTGCCACTTTCCCGGAGAGCCAATATGAGAACAACTCAGGCTTGTGCGGTTTCCCTCTGCCTATGTGTCAACCATCTTCTCAGCACCACCCCCCACTAGTAAGCAACACCTTCAGTAATAAGTACCATCTGATAAAAATCCTACTCCCAACTATCACACTAGTTTTTGTTGTTATTGCTATTTTCTTATACTACCAATCGATGAGAAACAAACTCAAGAAAAGCAGGATCAAAGCTTCCGATGATCCGACAGATCCAGCAAACCATCAGTTAATCTCACATCTTGAGCTTGTGCGCGCCACTAATAATTTCAGTGAAGACAACATGTTGGGATCTGGAGGGTGTGGAAAGGTATTCAAGGGACAGTTGAGCAGTGGTTTGGTGGTTGCAATTAAGGTTCTTGACATGCGGTCCAAGCATGCCTTTAGAAGCTTCGACGCAGAGTGTCGTGTGCTTCGCATGGCGCGGCACCGCAACCTGATACAAATAGTCAACACATGTTCTAACATGGATTTCAGAGCGTTGGTGTTAGAGTACATGCCCAATGGTAACTTAGATGCACTACTTCACTTCTCACAAGGGGGCGAGAGACAATTCGGGTTCCGTCAGAGGCTGCAGGTTATGCTCGAGGTGTCGATGGCAATGGATTATCTACACCATGATTACCATGAAACTGTTTTGCATTGCGACTTGAAGCCAAGCAATGTGTTGTTTGACGAGGACATGATTGTGCATGTGGCTGATTTTGGCATTGCAAGACTACTACAAGCTGATGATAGCTCTGTGTTCTCCTTGAGCATGCATGGCACTACTGGGTACATGTCACCAGGTACTTAGTACTAATTATCCTGCTCAATCTACTGATTTCTTGTTTTATAGTCGATTAACTATTATTGGTCACTCATGTTGGAATTTGCTTTATCCATTTCTTTCACAGAGTATGGGTTGTATGGGAAAGCATCACGAAATAGCGATGTATTCAGCTACGGAATCATGCTCCTTGAAGTCTTCACTGGAAAGAGGCCGACAGATGCTATGTTTGTTGGAGGACTGGGCCTTAGACGATGGGTTCACCAGTTATTTCAGGCGAATCAGCTTGTCCATGCCGTGGATAGACGGCTGCTGCAATGCTCCGACATGGACATTGGTTTTCTTGCCCCAATACTGGAGGTTGGTTTGCTCTGCTCCAGTGACTCGCCACGCGATAGGATAACGATGAGCGATGTAGTCTTGAGGCTGAACAAGATCGAAGCAGAGTATGCTAAAAATACAACATCTACTTCAGGAAGTGCGTCACAGTGATTGGCCGCCCTTACATCATCATGGCCACATGCAGGATTCTGGAGAAAGAAAAAGAAAAGGGTGAGCGATAAATATTTGGATACACTTGGTAGCCTTTCTTTTTTTGTTCATCGGAACGATTTGCTACCTGACCTTGGAGCTGAAATTTGTATGTTCTTAGTCCCTCATAGGTATCCTTTTTGTTTCATTTCTGAGTGTATTGCCCAATTTTATGCCAGCAGCACGACATGATTCCTAAAGCATTTGGATGTTCATAAACTTGCACACTTACTATTGTTTTGTGGACATGCATAGTATCACTTTCTTTGCTGGTTCACCTCAAGGTTCTTACCCCTTACCGTGGCAAATGTAAAAAAAAATGTCCTTGTCTAAATTCTCATCGTAATTATCATACTTCAAACTTCAATCCATATTATGCTACCCACTTCGCAACCGATTCGGTCGCCCTTGCTTTGCTTCAGGGCCACATGGCATGCACAACCCTTCTTGAGAAAGAAAAAAAGGAAAGGGGCTGAGCAATATATAATTTGGACACAGGCTGTAGCACTTCATTCGTTCAACACAATGATTTGCAACCAGTTTTGGAACTTAAATTTGTGTGTCATTCTGCCATGTGTGCTTCGTACTGCATGAAATGAAACACAAAATGTTCACAGAGAAGTAGGCATGATGTCGATCATAATTAAACCTACAAAACAGGGGTACAGTTTATCTCTTACGGAGGACAACAGGATCAGCCAATTTGTGCATGGCAGTCATATAAGCCAATATTTCAATTGTACAATCAGGAAAAATGCCGAGTATATGTCATGTCGTAGTATGCTGGAAAAACAGACTGAATTTACAGGACAAGGCGTATGACAAACCCTCATAATTTCCTCGAAAAAAAACCCTCATAATGCTTTACAGAGAGGAAAGTGTTGATGTATCTTTTCCATGGAAAGGAAAAATAACCTTGATTCCTACAGATAAAAAATAACCTCGATAACAAATCATTTAAACACTCCACAAACAGTAGAGCAGCAGATTTATTACAGATTTCAGTCTGCTGACAACACAATACCTGAATGTGAAGTAAAAATGTCATCAAATAAGGCATATATTATACAACAACCACAGCACAAAACACCAAAGAAAACAAAGACGGATTAACACGTTCATGCGCTGCTTCAATCCTTCTTCTGGACCCTGAGTGTGAAGGCCTGGAGGGACAAGAGCACTTGCTTGATCCGCTCTCTGATCTCAGCATCAATCAGATTTCCATCACTGTCAAACTTGGGTGGCTGCTGAAATGCTTGGACGAACAGCTCTGGCTTGTTGATGAAATGAAGATCTAAGAACACCCCGACCTGCCGGAGATGGTACTGTGATCTACCTCCTCCAAAGCCACCTCCCGCGCTGACAATCGCAGCAGGTTTGTCTGCCCAGCAATTCTTTCCTCTAGAAGCCCAGTCAAGTGCATTCTTCAGAGGGGCTACAGTTGGAACGAAACTATGTGAAGGAAGCACATATATGAGCATCGATAATAGAATCTAACAGCAAAAGGCAGTCCCTCTATTCGCCATTTAGAAATCACTAAACTATTGGGCCTTCACGTCAAAGCCATTTTCTACAACTACATGATTGTCTGAAGCTTCATAACAATAGGATTTTTCAGGATAGTTATTTGTCCTTCTTTTGTACTAGACATCAACATATCCATCAAAAATCATAAGGTGTTACGAAAACTGAATGGTTTTTTTGTGCACTTAAACTAAGCATGGTATTCTACTGCACCTATTATACCTATGGACTGTATCAGAACATGAAAATATTATTACTTATAGATTTATATTATTTTATTTTATGACCCAGATACAGGTTCAAGCACTAATAGCTCAATTTGGCTGCCCATTCAGCAATGTTGCATAAGAGAGCATGTATTAGGCTCAACCACTTGTTCAGGTTCATAAAAAAGAGCTTATCAAAGAGCGAATACGGCAAGTGAACATGATGAGAACCATTGCAATGATCAATCAAAACAGGCTCAACCGCTGTTAATTAATATAACCAAACAGAAGTTTACAGTTAATGTGAGTAGTTCACTGCAACATAGTCTGACGATAACTGGCAATGCTGAGATACACTGCTCAAACACTTGTATAGTTGGATTACCACAAGAAACTAAATGCAATAAATGGTTAGTAATATCTTAGATCCTTCGAGCACATAATATAATTGAAAGAGCTGAGTATCAAATTACCATATTGGTTTAGTCAGACTACTCGATTAGCTTAAATTAGTACCGAAAGACAGAAAAACTAAGATCTGGAATTGTTACAGGGCAGACAATCGTGTGAAGCAAACTTAACTGCAACAACTACAAGATTGTTGGTTGCTGCTGGATAGGGTGGAGAGAAGATCAGCTGGGTACTTGGTGTGGTGGAATTAGATAGGGGCATTTTTCAGCTCTACCAGTTATCATTGAACTACATTGAAGCAAGCTAAAAGGATAGGACAGAACATTGACACCCTTTTCTTTATAAAATTTGCAAGAAAGGAATAAAGGAAGTCCCAATACAATGATGGTGTCATGCTTACTGACCCTATTCGAAAACTTCAGTATTATGTAGTCACTACTTTAGCTATAATCTAGTATCTGGTCATGTTTCCAACAGCCGCATGCTTGACAGGCCTCCACTAATTAGGCATCATGAGAGTGAAAATTGGAATAAAATCCCACTGATAGTGCATCATGAGAAATTGGGAATCAAACGGAACCCACCACTTGTGCACCATGACAACCAAATCTGAATCCACCTTGTCAGACGTCGCACTATGCCACCACAGTTAGTCTCTGTTGCCGACAGTTACTTCCAGATACCAAAATCCTTGGTCGAATTGACACGAAACAAGCGCAGGCGACATTAAGCATCACTAAGAAGAGATGCCCCAAATTACACGGACAATCAGTAGTATAACCTTTAAGCTGTATCTATGTCAATTTGTGCAGCAGCAGAAGCGAGTGCCAATTTGGGCGACATTCTTACATGGCTTGAGCAATCGAAGAGTACTTGGCAGGGAAACGAGGCTGGAATTAAGGAGGGGGGAGGAGCGGGCACTCACTCGCGATGGAGTAGTTGTACTCGGGCGAGCCGAAGAGGAAGCAGTCGGCGCCGGCGATGCGGTCGCGGAAGGCCTTGACGGCGGGCGGGAAGCCCCCGTCGGGCGTCTCGAGGTCGGTGTTGAGCAGCGGCAGCGCGGAGATGTCCACGTGCTCCACGCGCATCCCCGGGACCGACTCCTCGCACACCTCCGCCGCTGGCCAGTCAACCCCGGGGTCAGCACAGCAGCCGCGCGTGCCCGAGCGAGCGACAAACAAGCACGAAGAAGGGGGGAGAGTCGGGAGAGGCAGAGAGCGTACCGGCGCGGAGGAGGCCGCGGTTGTAGGAGGCCCTGCGGAGGGAGCCGCAGACGGCGGCCACGCGGAGGATGGGCTTCGCCGCGGCGACCTCCATGCTCTCCTCTCCTCTCCGCTTCTTTTGGCTTTGCGAGGGAGGGGGCAGTCTGAAGTATGTAGATGCAGTCTGAAGTCTAAACCTGCAGCGGTCAATGTAAACGTGAGGCTCGCACGTCAGTTTGGATGATGTTCAAAATTTGGCAAACAAAACCATAAAATTCAGCAAAACAAAGTAATGTGCTCTCGATTTTTGAACTCAAACTAGAGTAGTACTCCCTCCGTCCGGAAATACTCGTCGAAGGAATGGATGTATCTAGATGTATTTTAGTTCTAGATACATTCATTTTTATACATTTTTTCGACGAGTATTTCCGGACGGAGGGAGTACCTCCGTCTGGTTTATTGGTGTCCTTCGTATTTTGTGTTAAATTTTAACTCATAAAATATTAATGCATCTCATTAAAAATTACTATTAGTATTATTTTTATAACATTAATTAAATTTAAAATCAAAATTTGACCCAAAATTTGACCCAAAATATTGGCTACCTTCTCGATGAAGTACCTTGGACTACCTCTTTCAGTGAGCCGCCTTAAAGCGCTCCATTTCCAGCACCTGAAAGATAATGTTGCTAGTAAGCTCACTCCATGGCGACCAATGCCACTTCCATTGGGTATGACGTCCTAGTCAAAACGGTCCTCACTACATGTCGCTTTTTCGGTGGGGTTGTGGGCGCCCAAGCGGGGCCCTCTTCGGTGTCGGTCACTAGGATCATCCGTGAGGATGGTGGTCGTGGCGAGTAAGCTCCTGTCGTCCCCTTAAATTCTCCTAATATGGAACTTCCGTTGGTAATGGAGGTGGGAACATCTTTCGGAGACAAGGCGCATACCCACCAGACTCAAAATGATGGGTCCCTCTTCTTTTCGGTCCGAGTGGGTCTTCCTTCATGTGGTCGTCGGCAGAGATCGACCGAATTGCCTCCAACTCGATGGCAAGTGATACATCCATTTTGCATTATGCTTTTATATCAATATTTATTGCATTATGGGCTGTCATTACACATTATATTGTTGGAAATATGCCCTAGAGGCAATAATAAAAGTATTATTATATTTCAATGTTCATGATAAATGTCTTTTATTCATGCTATAACTGTATTATCCGGAAATCGTAATACACGTGTGAATACTTAGACCTCAATATGTCCCTGGTGAGCCTCTAGTTGACTAGCTCGTTGTGATCAACAGATAGTCATGGTTTCCTGACTATGGACATTGGATGTCGTTGATAACGGGATCACATCATTAGGAGAATGATGTGATGGACAAGACCCAATCATAAGCGTTTTGCTAGAGCTTTGCCAATGTCAAGTATCTCTTCCTTCGACCATGAGATCGTGTAACTCCCGGATACCGTAGGAGTGCCTTGGGTGTATCAAACGTTACAACGTAACTGGGTGACTATAAATGTGCATTACAGGTATCTCCGAAAGTAGCTGTTGGGTTGACACGGATCGAGACTGGGATTTGTCACTCCGTATGACGGAGAGGTATCTCTGGCC